TTGAATCCATTAACAAATGGAATATTTCTAAATGGTGAAGATTACTGTGAAGAATAGATGAAAGCAAGAGGTAGGCAAAGTTTACTTCCCTACACAGAGCCAAGTACAAAGTAAGAACTTTCTTCAATTTTTTTTTATGTATTACAAAAAGGATATGGCAGCAAATAAGAAAAAGAATACCGTGAGTAAGTTTTGCAATACCTTCAAAAATTTCAGTTGGGTTCCCCATTTCAGAAATTATGAAAGTTGAAAATTTTGTCTAGAAGTAGGAATCCTCAATGAACAATAAGCATGGAGGAAATAAAAAAATGTAATTTAAAATGGCTCACCAAATGGTCTATAGTCCAGAGATCTTGGAATCTGTACTGATATATAAAAATATATCAGAGTACAGATAAAGATATGAAGGCATTTGATGTATTTTATGAAGAAAGTATGAACTCAAACTTATTCCTTGAATTAACAACACTAACCAAGTCAACTATACACTGTTTATCCCTGTGTTTCCTCACCATTTGATTTATTTTTCTTTAATTTATTATTATTATTATTATTATTATTATTATTATTATTATTATTATTCTAAGGATCAAGGCCTCATGGGTGCTAGACAACATTCTAATACTCAGAGATACACCCTCAGCTTTTCATAGACAATTTTATATTTTTCATTCTCAATTTTCATTCTCTTTCCCCTTTTAATACCTATAAATTCAGTTTGGGGAATCTATGAACAAGATAATATTTAAATTCATTAAATATTATAGTATTTAAATTCATTGCTCAGGTTGCTCTATCCCTCTCACCTTTCATCTTTTCTTCCCACTTCCTGTAGTGGGTTGAATGGTACCTGTCTCTACACCTCACTTAAAAAAAATACATGTTCATTGGAAATGAATTATAGACTAATTTGGAAAAGAGTCTTTGGAGGTGAGATTGTCCTGGATTAGGATGGGTTTTAAATCCAAAGACTAAATGTCTTTATAAGAGAAGACACCAGAGAGGAAAGATACAGACACAGAGAAGGACCTATAAGATGGGGGCAAAGATTGGGAGTTCTGCAACCTGAAGCCAGGAAATATCTGAAGCCCTCAGAACCTGAAAATTAAGAATTGTAATGCAAAAAAAAATTAATAAGAGAGCTCATGTATAGTGGCATAATTTGCCATGAACATACTTTATATACAGAGTTATAAAAAATTGTGCTATGAATGGATGATTATGAATGTAATGCATTCCACTATTGTAATGTATGAAAGAAAGAAAGAAAAAAAATGAAAAAAAGAAATATTCTCCCCTGGAGTCTCTGGAGGAAGTACGTGCCTGTCTACACCTTCACTTCAGACTTCTGTTCTCCAGCATTCTGAGAGAAGAAATTTCTGCTGCTTTAGGTCACCCAGGCTGTGGTAATTTGTTCGGTTTGACCTAGGAACCCAAAACACTCCCTGAGCCTCATGTTGGCTGAAAGTATTGGGCACATATTTTCCCATGATTGATTTCTTCATTCATTCTTAGGATCCATCAGCCTATCCACCCTTCCTCATGTTGTCTCAGGTTTTTTTATCCACCTAGGTGAAAACATTTTAAGTTGCTTCAGTATTCAACATTTCAGTTTGTAGAGGATTGTCTGTCCCTGCTCCCACTTCCTCATGCCTATCTGTTTCCCCTTTGTCTCTATCCACTTTTCTCTTAATATTGGCACAAAATCTATATTTCATCCATTAAATTCTCCCCCAGCCCCAAACATATTTTAAAACTTGCGTATTAACTAGTATTAAATATGATCTTCTTGTCTCTGTGTCTACTATGGTACCATTATTGTCTCCAATCCACATTCAGCCTGATCAGAGATGCCCCAGAAACTACCAATGGTACTATCATTTTTTTTAGGGAAATGTCTGAGCTCTTGCCATGTACTCCTTATCTGGAAGCTAGAGCCTATTGTGGCAAATAATTTTCTACACTTTGTTCTAACTAGCTGGAGTCCACAGCTTCTATCAAGTGTTTTGTGTTTCTACAAGAGAACATGGATGTATTCATTTTTTCCTGAAAGATTGATCAATCATAATTAAAAACAAAGTACCCAACATCCTTGTGGCTACTTATACCAGTCCTTTTCTTCTGCCCAAGTTGTTCATGTAAAATGTCTCTTTTCCCTGATTTTTAAACTGCTTTCAAGCTCTTTGCAGTGTTTCTTCTAGCCAAGACACTTTTATTTCCAAGTTGACCTCATAGGTGTGGCCCTCTATCTTTCACCTTGACCACTGTGGTGGTCTCCCATTGTCCTCCACTTAAGCTGGTATTTGAGTATTAAGGTCAAATAGGTGATAGATTCTTAATTATATCAATCTCTGGCACTGAGATTTTTTTAAAACACCCTAAGTAATTTTGCAGTACAGCCCTGGAACCATTGTTTTTTAACTACCCCACCCTTAACATTGTTTGAGGAAACTGTTGAAATGCCATCTGTACATGTTATTCACCAGATATATTAAATACAAATTCCAGAACGCAGTATTCAAGTTCTGCTCCAATCTAGTCTCCAGCTGTTATCTTTCTTGATCCCTCCATTCCTGGGAAGCTATATTTCCAATGTTCTTTGTCTAAAGGAAATAGTCCCCCCCCAACACACACACACACACACACACACACACAGGAAACATGATCTGGCAAAGGATTTCTGTGGTTGATTTATAGCTATCAGAGTTGTCCAACCTGAAACTTTGGAACTTGGAAATGTTTGAGAATTTATAGAAAACAGCAGGTTAGAATATTTGAAACCAAGTTAGCCTTCTCCCCCAAAGCCAAATATTTTCCTATACATTAAGTTCTTTAGAGAGACTTTCAAATAAGCATTTAGAGTACCAAACCCAAAGTCCACCTGGAAGACATGCCAGATGAACCCCTTTGAGGCCAGCTGACATGGAGAAACACCCCTCCTAACACTTGCTCTTAAGTGGGAGGAAAGCAAGGCACAGTTGTGCTCTTGACTAGAGGTGTTGACTGCTGATTCCTGGTTTGTGATGGGTTGCAACAGTGCTGCCCCTGGTGATGCTGGGGACTGAGTCTCCTGATCTGTGGGGCAACTTGGGGTAGATTCTCAAGAAAATTTCCTTCCTCTATCTCTTCCCAGAAAAGGAGATGCTTGAAATCTCAGCACGAATGAAAGAAAATTAAAAGTGAAACAAAGAATTACACTTTAAGAGATCTGGGAAGTATGACTCTGACAGTTAAGACCAGGGAATTTTTTACGTGAGCTCAGGAATGGAAATTTCTAAGGGTTATCCATCAACCAAACCACACCACAATTCTATCTGACTCAGAATGTCATGAGAACTTGATGTTGATATTGTTTCTCATCTGGCTCCAATATTTATTTTTTAAAAAAAGGAAACAACAAAGAGAGGAACTCTACAATTGTGGCTTCACCCAGTGTTTACCAGCTTCGTAATATTTTTCCTGAGCTCATTTTTTTTTAATATTTAACCTCAACAAGATCATGTTGGCTAATTATCTTTCCTTCCTTTTAGACTAGGTAGGATGGGAGCATCCTTGACTATAGTTATTCACACGGAATGGAGTTGTTACAAGCACTGATCTAAGGATCAGGAGAACTGGTTTCTAGTCCTCACACTAAATCTTCACAGTGTATTTATATCCATACAGCAGATCTCCATCCATGTGAAAACTGAGGGTCAGGTGATATTTGTAAGTCACCCAAGTCATAAGAATTAGTAAGAACAAGATATAGTGACTGACTCCTTCAGATTTTTCCAGGGCTTTCGTAGCTTACAACTGAGAGTCCTGCATCACAGGAATTCATTTAGCACAAAGAAAGTTGGTGATCCTAGTGGAAGCATCAGAGAACACAATACAGTAATCCAGACTGCAAACCTATCCATCCAAAACACCCTGTACTGCCAATGCCAAGTACTTGTAGGTCTGTGACTTGATGCTGTACAGAGCATTTAATTCTTATCTTCATTTAAATGCTTCCAGTAACACTCAGAAGCAAAAAAAAACATCAGCAAACATCAGAATAGGTATTTGATAAAAGCTCTTTGAATTCCAGACAATTCCTTAATCTTAAAAAGTGGCAAATTAGGCTGGGGCAGGTTGTTTGTTCAATAAATTGTTACAGTGATTGCAACATAATCATCCCTGTATTTGTTAACTGAATGACCCTACCCTTTTTCTATAGTGTAATAGAACAAAGATATCAAGTGTCCTGAGTATCAGTTTTGCTTTTTCCAGAAATGTGACTTTGGCTATGTCACCCCCTCTGGACTTCAACTAGCCAGAAGGGTAAAAAGAGGGGTTTTGTACCAGATAGTTTCCTGGGACCAATACTGTTTTAGTAGTCTATGTCTCTGGTCATATTTAAGGAGAAAACCAGTATTGATAAAGCTGGCTGATAAGACAGAATTACACTATGGTTTGGATTGCTAAGCACACTGAAAGAAAAAATACTGTTTGTTTTCAAATTTCCTTCTCAGAAATCCCTGATACCATCTAATCACTTTAATCAGCTCTGAAAACACCTAATGTTCCTCTTGTTCTCTTTTCCTTCCACTAGCAAGTAAGATAAACTAATTCACATAATAGGCTATCAGTGGTGTCCCAGAGCTGCTTAGGAATGGAATGCACCTCAGAAGCACCATGGTACTCTTCCCAGGGCTCTATATTTGTCCATGTAATTCATCCTCTACCGATATTCAGAGTTCTTCTTGCTAACTACAGATTTTCTTATGATTTTCCTGGCATCGATGACAATCTATTAAAAGAAACCAGCACCAAAGCATTTGATTTAAACTATCCTCAGCTATAGCTGTCACTTCTCTAGTCAGTAATTACACTCTATGATATTTGTAGTATCTTTCTCAGGTTTAGTGACTTAGAAATTATATTGTTTCTCTCTTAATGATGACATAAATTTAAAACACAAATAAACCAAAATCTCAGGACACCTCCTCTAACCTCATCCAAGACTCCATGCTTACTAGAGGATTTGGAAGTAGAAAGCCATACTCCTCAGAAATGTAATAGCTTCCCAAAGACAACTGCCATGCTGTCTTCAAATTTTCTGTTTGAGGCTCCATATTTTACTTGAAGTATCTTCAGTGAAGCTGCCACTGAAGAAACAATTGGTCCATATATATCACAGACTGAGGTTAAGGGAGCTTCAAAACTATTTTTGGTTGTGTGATGTCTCAGCAACAGAAGAGAACCTTGCCCTCAGGTTGAATTCCAGACTGCCCTGAACTTGCTTTCAGACAAGGATAAGTAAACAATTAAAAACTGCTGATTAAAACCAACAGGCAAACAACCCACTGCAAGAAGAAAATCCCTTCTTCCCATTCTCACACATGCAATATGAGAAGATTGGTCTAAAACAGAACCATATGTGTTCAACCTTGGAAAAGGGGAAATAAAATAGACTTTTGGTTACACCTGATGAAACATGTACACTGACGGGAATCTGGTTTGTGGTGACGACTGGGTCATAATTATTCTCCAAAAGCAGTAACTATTAAAAGTAGAAGTTAGATTCAGTGTTATTTCGGTGGTCAGCAGTGGATGGTGAGCAGAATGGGGAGGATTCCAACAGCAGAGTAGAAGCTCAGATGAGTTTTAAAACAGCGTAATCTAATATCATGCTTGTTTCAACTTATTTTAAGAAATTATACTTGGATAACAAATGAGTATAGCAAATAAAGCAATGGATACCAACGAACTTGAATTTAACCTGAACAGATCTATTGATTCAACTACCTAATATTTTAAAAAATATTTTCATTTTTAATTGACACATAGTGATTGTACTCAATCCTCTCCTTTTGTCAAATAACTTTTGAGAACCTATCATTAAGATAAGTGGGGTTTTTTTATAGCATTATTTTGTTTATTTATATGTGGTGCTGAGGATCGAACCCAGGCCTTTGCACGTGTGAGGTGAGTGCTCTACCACTGAGCCATAACCCCAGCCACAAGATAAGTGGTTTTAATGTAAAAATAGGTACTGAGTTTTATTTTACAGATTAGTAAGCTGAAGCATGCACATGTGAATTGTGCTGTCCAGTATTGCGCTGGTAATTATTACCAGAGTGAGGTAATACCAGAACATTGCTCCTTTCACTAATCAGGCTGCCAGGCTAACTGTCATCTGTGCCATCACAGTGACAATTGTCTTTAATGTGGAGCCCACCATAATGACTACCAGGACCTACACCTGCACTGGGGAGATTCTGAAGTCTTGCCCTTCACTCATGGACCCTGAATTTTTTTAAATGTAATTTATTTGAAAGATAATTCATCTATACATATCTCTCCTTCATCCCTTTCCCTAAAATAAATATAGAAGAGAAAGATACTATCACTGTTGTGATAGCTCCTCTAACAGATCCAAGGCAGGTTTAAATTCTGAAGTTTGTGTACCAAAAGCAGCCTAACATATTAATGGTTTATTAGGAGACAACTAAGATCCGTTTTCAATTATTCACTAGCCTTTAGTTCAATATCCAACCAAACTTGAAGATTGATTTCTTATGGTTCCTAAATAAAAATTTTCCATCTTTGTATGTCATCCTCATGATCTTCCCTTCAATCTTGGATGAAAAGATGACTCAATTCTATTTTTATACCAGTCATGTTATTTTCTATCCATTTCCTCTACACCCTCCCATGAATTTATTGCATAATTATAAAATCATAAAATATTAAAATTCAAAGAGCCATTGCAGAATAAATGATATGGTACAACACCCTCATTCATTATACGAACAACCCAAGATTTAAGGGAATTAAATGACTTATCAAATGTCATCCTGGGAGTTGACAGCATTCCTGAGTTTTTCCTATTGGGATAAATATATTATCTTTTCTGTCTAGTCAATAACTCTTTTTATTTTTCTTTCTTTTTTTTTTTTTTTTTTTGGTTGATGTTGTTTTTGTTTTTGTTTTTTGTACTCGGGATTGAATCCAGAGGCACTATACCACTGACCACATCCCCAGCCCTTTTTATGTTTTTATCATGAGAGAAGGTCTTGCTAAATTTCTTAGGGCCTCACTAAGTTGCTGAGTCTTACCTGAAACTTGCCATCTTCCTGCCCCAGCCTCCTGAGTTGCTGGAATTACATGCATGCACATCACACCTGCTCCTTTTTCTATTTCACTCTTAACATGTAGATATTTCTTTACAAAGCTGTTCTTAAATATATCCATCTGACATTAACTTTGAATCTATTCCCAGGTCCCCAAATATGCACATTCAGTCTTGACCTTTCTTGCTCCCAAGCCCTAGACCAACGTACCTTTGGTCTGTGACTCTTTCAGCTATAGCCACAAAAATTTTCAAGAGCTCCTATCTGGTGATGAGATACAGTTCACATTTCACTGAGCTGACATACCCAAGACTTATGCTCAAAACTTCAAAAAATAAATTGCTGCTCCTGAGTAACCAGCACTTGGCTACCTACTTCATCACTTCATTTATACTATCTCTGGTTTCCATGATACTTTGTGTCCATAGCTGAACTAATCTTTTAAGACATATCTCAAATGCTAATACTTCCAAGAACTCTTTTCTAGAATTATTCTCACACTGCAAAATTCTATAATCAGCTCATGTCCTATTTCAAATTCTATCTAGTTTGATTATTACAAATGTATTCACCTCATCTTTCCTATTCAATTGTAAAAAACAGAACCCATATCGAACCCAATGTTGTGTTTTCCTGTAGCAGCAGGCCTAGCGTCTGCCACTCAATAAATGTTTGTAGAAGGAATGATTTCCAAGATTATGGACTTTATATTTTAGAATTAGGGTCTTGATGTTAGATAGAGCTTTACTCTGGTCCAAGTTGTACCATTTTAGACCCAGCCCTGCAAATTTACTCTTCAGTAAAGAACACAGAGACACATCCTACTTAAAGCATGGAGTCTTTCTTATTTACCAAGAGGAAATGTGGCTGTGCCCAGAAACTTCCCCTCTTATCAGTAGGGCCAGGAGTTTCAGAGTCCTGGATTCCATAATCAGCTTTCCCATAAAAGTATGGGTATACAAAAAGGGCTTCATCTCTTTGAGACTAGGTATTTGAGCCTTTTGGAAATTGACCAAGGAATATTTAGAAAATGAAAGAAACATATTCCCAATTAAAAATTTTTAGTTCACTTGTTTACTGATAACACCATCAGATATACTTAGTTTTGGTTTCTAAATTGATAAGTAAAGTCCCAAATAGTACTGGTACACTGAGTATTCTTCTCCAGCTCATTAATTATTTCTTTGTTCCTAAATTCAATTGGGGACTTCCTAGTCCTTTCCTTAATGAACGGTTCAGGTATCTGACATTGCTGCCTACATTTTTTTTTAACTCTCTTCTCTCCTTGACACTTTTCACTACATGTATTCCTCCTCATTTTATTGGCTGTAAAATAATAATAGTGGTAAATAGCAGCCAATGATCCTTGATTTTTCTCTCGGCTGAGTTCTAAGGTAAGTGTTTTCCATAGTGCATTTCATTTTATTCTCACAACAGCCCTGTGAGTTAGGTACTATTATTATTTCTATTATTTAGTTGAGGACACTGCAGCTCAGAAAAGTTAAGATAAAGCTGAGTGTCATGGTTCTATGAGTGGTAAACCAGGACTGAAACGCTGATAATCTGATTTAAAGTCATGATCCCATCCACCATGGCTTGCCTTTTTTGGGTCTTCTCTCCTTTTTTCCTGGTTATACTTGATTATTGGTCACCTTCATGGTAAAGATTTGAATTGCCCCTCTGCTTACTCTGTGCCCTCTCCGTGAGTGTGCTTATTCATTCATTCAATGACTTGGACCATCTTCTCTAGCCTGGTGACTACAGTGTGGTTCTTCCAGCTGGATTTTTTTCAGATTTCTAAACTCATGTGTCTTTCTGTCCTTTGGACATATGGACTTGGATGCTCTATAGAGGTTTCTTATGAAATATCTCAACTCCTTCAACTTTTACTAGATGTCTTCCATTAAGATAGGGGCAAAGCCAAAATCTGCAGCTACTGGCTGAAGGCCTTGAGCAGACATCCCACTGTCTAGTGTCAGTTGTAAGCTAAAGTTGTCACTTATGTTCTTGTAACAAGAATAAAACTTAGCTTATTCTTATATTCCATATTCAGTTAATGGTATCTCTAAGAACCAGTAATATAATTTGAGATGCTTAATAATGGATAAAAATGTAAGTTCTCTTGTTCAAAAATATTGAGAATTATAAGACCCTGATAGAAGAGAATGAAGTGTAAGACCCTGTGTGACTGCCCAAAGTTGACCAGATAGAGACCCGAGTCATCTCTCCAGCAGACCCTCATCCAATAGAACACTGGTCTTTCCAATCTAGCTGTCCTAATGCTTCTAATATTTCTCTCTTTTTCCAATCCAAGGTCATGCTTTAAGTCTTTTGCCATTTACTATTGAGATATTATAATAACCACCTAGCAACCACATAACTGTTCTCACTGCTTCAAATCTATTCTGATATTTTCTCATCACTTCATACTTACTTGATACCCTCTCAGCTCATGAACATGCCTCTAGTATTATTCATCATGGCATTTACATATCTTTTTATAGTGCTTATGTTTAATAACCAATGTTTTAAATATGTTGCTAAATTCTACAATATAAAATGAAAATTCTGTCAATCCGCCCATAGACCAATTAGCAAGTGAAATACCATGCACATATGTACACACATACAGCAATAATCACTCTGTGAAGGCAAAGGTAACATGTATTGAAAGAGATTCAAAAATCCATAGGAATAGAAGTGAGAGAGAATTCCCTAAAAGTTCTCCAGGTGAGACTGAATAATGGCCAAAGCAGTGGTACCCGAATGGGAATGGATAGGTAAAAGTGGTTGTATCAGAGTAATCAAGCTCCTCACACCCTTGGAGAATTAAAAGTTCTAAGACAGATACTCTTCCAAAGCTGCTTTCACCAGAAGACAGGTGATTCTGCTCTTTGCCTTTCCTCATTTTCCCTGCTTACAACACTTTTGAAAGTCAAGACAAAATAAAAACAGTTTCCCTTCTGACTTAACTGACAGCGTGGTTACTGGGTGGCATGGCAAGACACTGCTAACCTGTCTTCCCAAGTGACAGTCCCATGTTGCATTCCCTACCAGACATCAACTGTGTTCTGGTTGCTCCACATTCTCACCAGCATTTGGTGCTGTCAGTATTGTGGATTTTCAAGGCTGCTCTACAAAT